GTTTATCACACAATGTATTTCAGCAGACATTCCTGGTTGCCCTTTGTTGAACAGTTTAAGCTTTTAAGATAAAATAGCATGCAAGCAGGATGGCATGCTTTATCCTAACATTTCTATGATGCAGCTATAATGATCTATCACTCTAGTTGATGAGAAGAAGCAGTTAAAGAAAAATAAAAATAGAAATAAGTTTTCTGGCTAAGGTCCTGTAGGTGTACTTGAATGAGAGTGATCAAGCAGTTGGGAACAAGGGCTCCTTTCCCATTGCTAGGGATCTGAAAAGAGTTTTAGAACCCTTGCCAGCCCAACCTCTGCTGAGTGAGGTGCTAAGAAGGCAGGAGCCATGCCCTCTCAAAAATGCCTCCAACCCTCCCTTTTTCCTGTGAGAGGAAAGCCAGAGGAGGCTGATGCATATGAAGCAGAGCTGAATGATATAGTAATTCATGTTCAAAAAAGACCTCCAAGATGATGTAGCCCAACCATTGAGTTACCACTGCCAGGCCCACCGCTAATCCCTGTCCCTCAGTGCCAGTCCCCACAGCTCCCTGCCATTCTCTGCACTGACTAGAGCCCTGCTTTCTTCCTAACTTAGAGTGATTTTGGACAAATAAAACACCCCAGCAGAGGGTAAGGCCCTGTCGAGGGCGGCTGCTGCTGCGGTGACCACACAGAACCCCCAGCAGGAGCTGGTCCTGCAGCAGCTGCACTGAAAATATTAAGAAACAAAAAAAAAGGCCACAGGTAATTTTAGTAGTGAGGTAGTATTTCTAGTGTCCCTCTGGGCTGCATGCTGGGAGGATCTGTGCCTGCTACTATTATCACTAGCAGAAGATATTTAGCTCAGTAGGAGCAGTGAGTTTCCTTTAACCTGAGAGGTCCTCAGCGCTGGGGCAAGTCAAACTTCCCATGCCACTTACATATCTTCCTGGGAAATTAAGGGTCCAAGCATCCTTTACAGATAAGTTTCCAGCCTGAAACATAGAAGGGGTTTATTCTGTACCCATTCATTCACAATTAGTGAATCTTACTGCTGAACAAACAAGGAGTTTGGATTTTCAACCACAAGCAAGGTCAGCATAGACACGAGTGGCAAAGTCCATCGTGCTGGGGGAACAGGAAGGTGAAGCTGTTCATGCCTGTCATCTTAGTCCTCATTCTTCTCCCTTTCAGAGCCTAAATATATCAAATGGCTTTGGGACAACCAGAAAAAGAGAAGGGAGGACACAAAAAACAATTTAATAATGTCCATTGAAGCAAAGAATTTTGCTTACCCCCTGTTTTAGATGAAATATCACACACCCCAGCAGGTGATTTATGTTTCTTTGCATCTTTAAAGATGCTCAGGTCTGGAGCGAATTATCTGCCATCAGAATCTGGAAGAACAGACACTGTTAACAGTTCATCAGACATAAAAAAAAAAAAGGAAAGAAAAGAGAAACACATAGACACAGACCGGGGATTTGCAACAAGATTCCAACCATGCAAGTGACCTTGCTAAAGTCAATTAGCATCTTCTGTTGTACATCCTACATGGGTAGAAAATCATGTACAACCAATAACTACTATTATTACTTATTTTTTTTTGGGGGGGGGGTGTTTTTCTGCATATAGTATCAGAGAGTAGCAGCAGATGTAGGTTAAAAAGTGTAAGGGGTCTGTAGTCTGAAACATAAAAATATGTTATTAAATTGAGCAGTGTGTGGGCATTTGCCAGGAAGGATGCAGTAATTATTAGCAGAAAGCACCTTTTTCATGAAGAACTATGTAGAATCTTATTCAAAACCTGCCTGGTTCTTCAGGCATCACTTACACAAGTCATTGTGGCCATGTTTTGTTTCCCAGACCTTAGGCTTAGTAAAGGAGTTTAGCCCTCTGTGACTTGTTCTTTTACTAAATTGGTCCTGGAGGACAGCAGAGAACTTGGGGCAGTGAATAACTCCTCTGAAGCTCCCATGAGACTCCAAGAACAGGTAGGTCCCTGTGTTGGACTCTGGGAGGTGCTGAAATTCATGTTGGCAGAAGTGGGTCTCCATTTTTCTACGCATAATTTGTCATCCATAAAATGGGGTGAATGAAAGACTGTTTCCCCCCATATTTCATCTGCTTTCCTCTCTAAGATTGTAACCACTGCAGAGAAGCTGTGTCTGCCCCACCTCTGGACATGTTCAAGGACAGGTTGGACAGGGTCTGTAGCAATCTGGATTAGTGAAAGGTGTCCCTGCCCATGGCAGGGGCTTGGAAAGAGAGGATTTTTAAGGTCTCTTCCAATCCAAGCTGTTCTATGATTCTGTTATTCTCCAAGGGTTGTATCAGAGAAAAGCCTTCTGGTGCCACAGGTGGAGTGGTGCCACATTCTTATTAAACTGGAGCAAAGGCAAAATCCTTGCTTAGATAGGAAAGAGTTTGCCTCCAGAAAGAAGGGAACAGACAAAATATCCTCACAGCAATCTAGTGCCCGTGATTTCCTCGATTCCATCTGAAAGCTTACTCTCCATTTTGCTGACATATGAGCTGGGTGCCCTATTGTACATCAGTGTGAAAAATAGCTGTTATCTGGTGTTTCATGGGAGATACGGCAGAACATGACTTATTTGTGCCTGCTCTGCCGCCTCCTTTGAAATGTTGCCGTCGCTCGCTGCTCCCTTCGCAGGGGAAGGCAGATGGTCATCACAAAGTTCCCCATAACCTTGCCGTGCCTGCTGCATAGTGAATCAATGAAACCTGAATTACAGAGCTCTGCCTGGGCTGGGAGCTGCGCTGCTACAGAATCCTGCAGCGCCTGCAAGCCTCTGAATGTCAGCTCTGCCCAGACACTGAGGAAATGTGAAATTTCTCTCCAAAATTTCAAGGCGGTGCCGAGTGGGGATTTTTAGCTGCAAAGTTGCATCCGATGTGAGCCAGGACTGCATTGCTCAAGCCTTAATTACCAGCTTGGAAATGCACTTTTTGTGAGCGTTCAAATGTTAGGTGTGACCTCTCCTTAGAAAGAGTAGAAATTAAAAATCCAAGCAGGATTGGAATGTTAAATGCTGGGGATGAGGATTTTTTTGAGTTTGAACAGCAGCAGCTGCCCCTCTGTGATAGCTTTCTCTGCTTATGTGACATTTGCAATGAGGCTCCAGGTGATTTTGGAAGCTGGCACTTAACTGCAGTTCACCTTTTGTGTCAGCTTGTGCCAGGATATCCTTGCCAGAAGCCACTATTTTGGTGGGAAATAACAACTGGGAATAGGGGAAAATATGAGCTTGTGAAAAGCACTTTGTCACGTTCCCTGGGCCGTGGCAGGCAAAGCTGGGAACAGTGTGAGCTCCTGCCTGAAAGTAGGCATAGGTAGAAATCTCTCTGGCAGGATTATCTCCTTTACATACCTGATTGAAGGCAAGGTGAGTCCATAAAACATTTTAAACACTGTCTCCCAATTTCTGATATTTATTTGCTCTATGAGTCAACATGCTGGAAGACATCTAAATTTTATAAAGCCTCATTTCACTGATTTTTCCTTAGAATGGGAATCATTGCTATGAGCAGGTCTGGCAATTTCAGATAATGACCTGCATGCAGCACAGGTGCTTCTAGAAACGGGTAACCCTGGGTGTAATACATGTTAAAGTGTCTCCCCCAAATGGTTCTGACCTTTTGCATGATTGCTTCTGTGTGTGTGTGTGGAGGGCAGAGCCCTTCCCAAATTCAAGCTGTCAGCTCATTCTAGTAGCGTGTCTAGGCAAAGAATGCTCATATGAGCTCACTGCTGCTAGGTAGCTTAGACATTAACTGCCTTGATAATTTTATGGTTTTATTAAATACAAGATGAATAAATTTGAAAACTTTTAATCCAGTTTTTGTTGGGGAGAAAGCAAAATATTATTTGGTGTGCTAAAGACAATCCCTGGATGTGAATTTATTTGATGAAAGAGATAACTTGTGCTGGGACAATTGTGTCATTGACTCTTATTCCTCAGTTTGCAACTGTATTTGGTCTTCTAAATCCACACAGACTTCTTCTGTCTTGGAAGGGGCACATACAGTTATCTTACTACCAGTAGCTAAAGAGAGAGGATCTTTCTTATAGGACCTTTTTTATTAAATCCTTACAGCAACAAAAGAAAAAAATAACCCTAAAGAAGTATTTAAATGGGGCCAGATAACTTTACAGAAAAAAAAAAAGGTCTGGTCTTGTTAACCCTAAAGAAGTATTTAAATGGGGCCAGATAACTTTACAGAAAAAAAAAAAAGGTCTGGTCTTGTTAACAGAGACTGAGTAGACTTGATGTGTCCTTTACTGATTGTCATGGAGGTTTCTATGTCCTAGCATTTACCAAAGTGAGTGAGACCAAAGTAAGGTTTATACTCTTGAAATGTATAAAAAAACCAAATCCTGGTTAAATTTAGGTTTAAGGTAGATTATTTTCTCTGTGCCATTGGTATAGATCAGTGAAATCTCAAATTAACAATTCAAAATTCTTATTTTAATTATATGTTTCTGGAGATGGAATAGCTATTAAACTTTGTGGATCCGTCTGTATCCTGAGGAATCAGGATTCATTTTATGTACATTTCCAGCTTCTAAAAATCATTTCCAAAGTGTCAAGAAATCACAAATCATCTAGAAATTAATCTTCATCTCAAACTTTTTGTAGTAATTTGAAATTTGTCATTGTCTATTAGTTAAATGTAGAAGGTTATCCTCTCCCATGGGGTGAGGAGTTTGCATGCAACATTTTGGTCCTGGATATCTGGGAATCCCTGAGTCTGCAATGAGTATCTGAGCAGTCCCTGAACTGCAGCACAGAAATGCAAATGAGCCTATAATGGGTAAGATAGAGTTGTGGCAGGGAGCAGGGACAGATCCCAAAGGCCAGCGAGGGGGATGGCAAGGCTCCTGTTGAGTGCAGTGGTGTCTGAGCACAGCTCTTGGCTTGTCTGTGAGAGGAGACAGAGTCTCTCTGCACCACGTTGTAAGCACGATAACCACACGCTCATTTTTCTGCTTTCTCTCCCAGGATGGAAGGAGCAGTTTCATTGGCCACCAGCTTGGAGGGGTAATGGAAGTGCCAAACAGCAAGGACCAGAGAGTCAAATCAGCCAGAGCCATCCAAATCACTTACTACCTCCAAACGTATGGCTCTGTCACCCAGGACCTCATTGGGGAGAAGTGGGAGAGCGAATTCTGTAAACTGATGCACAAGATGCAGCTGGATCACCAGGATCTGCAGCTCTACTCACTAGCATCCTTCAGCCTCTGGAAGGACTTCCACCAGACCAGTCTCTTGGCCAGGGGCAAGATTTTGGTGAGCCTGATGCTGATTCTCCTGACTGCTACCCTCTCGAGCTCCATGAAGGACTGCCTGCGTAGCAAACCTTTCCTGGGACTCCTGGGAGTGCTCACTATCTGTATTTCCAGTGTCACTGCGGCAGGGATATTTTTCATTACTGATGGAAAATATAATTCTACTCTGTTGGGAATCCCTTTCTTCGCTATGGGTAATTATTTATCTTCATAATAATAGGATTAACAGAGTTTAATGACAGAATTGTAAATTGCATCCTGGGTTATAAAGTGCAGATTTTACTTTGAGTGAAATTCTAAGTCATTTTCATCTTTCTAAATTGGTCTGTGCCTTGCCAAAAAAAAAAAAAATTAAAAAAGGAAAAAAAAAGAAAGAAAAATGGAAACAAAACAAAGCAGTAACAACAATAAAAAGAAAATTACATTCCTGGAATCTCAGCCAACATGAGAGAGGGGCAGTTCTATTGATTTTTGTTACAGAATGAAAGAGAAATTGTTATTGAAAACTAGTCAGCTCAGCAGACAAAATGGATATGTGTTGACCCAACTTTGATGGGAGGCCAGCCAAAAGAGTAAGTTAAACAGGAAGGTACCAAGGAAGGGCAGATTTTAACATCCTTCCCAAAAAGGGCTTTTCTTTGAGCTCTGCCTGAAGGGCAGTGTGAGACAGGTTGGTGTAATAAGATTGATGGACTTTATCTCAGAGAGGAGATTACAGTTGTGGTGTTTGCCAGGCTGTGAGCACAGGAGCCTGTCAGGATCTGTGGCACATAATCCCTTGGTTTGTGAAATCCCAGATCAGCTGCACAGATTTCCATTGTGTTGCACCCAGACAGGGGAAGCTGTGGAAGAAAGAAAAAATGTAATACCCAGCTCTTTAGGCAGAAGAATTGCTTTTAATCAGTTGCTTTCTGGTGCTGTTTGGGTCCAAGCACTTCCAGGGCATCCATGTGGTTGATGAGTTTGCTGGGAAGTTTCATTGGAAAGGCTGAGGGAATGGTGCCCAGCTCAGCATTGTTTGGTGCCCTCACATCCAAGTTTGTCAGTTTTGCCATACCATGAGTCTGAGCCCCAGTGACAGCTCTGTGCAAAATCTCAGTGGTGACAGCCCAGAAGTAAAGGTTTCCATGCTCAATTCTGGTGTCAGGGAATTTTACCAGTGGCCAGAGCTCTGCATTTTTACATCTAATTTCTTAAATCCTGTTCATACTTCTAGTCCTCAAACTGAGTACTGTGTTATGGTAAGAGTCAACTAAATATGCAAAGTCACAAGCCAGAGTCTAAGTTTGAAAAAAGGTCTTATACTTTCCTTAAAACCTCAGTCTCCCAAAAGACCGTATTTTCTTATCTTCCCCTGAGAAAACTCCTGTGAGTATATGCATCCCCAATCCCAACCTCCTATTTAATCTAGCCCCTAATAATGCATCTGTGTCACTAAACAAAAGGGCTGAGCTGTGGCCTCATCAGTCCTGCTCTCAGAATCTCTGGAGCAGCTGCTTGAGGTGGGAAGAGGTGGAGTGGAGGGATTGGTCAAGTCTCCAGAAAGGAAATAGAGGAGTGAGGCAAAAGACCCCAAGGAATTTCATGTTTGGTTCAGCCTCATTAACAGTGATAAACAAGGCTGTGCCAAAGCCTCTGATTCAGTCATCTGCACTGTGGCAATGGCCCTGACATGGACTGCCCTGTGCCAGCTCTTCAGATGTTGTGCACAGTTCTGTGGTGCCAGAGGAGTTGATGGAAAGTGCTGAGATGGGGAAAGGGAAGGAAGCCAGCAGAGAACGTGCCATGTTGTGATGGATGGATCCTGACCTGTGCGAGGGGTGTGGGTTTAGGAAACAAAGAATGGAGAAAAGGATGAAGAGGGGGTCATGCTTTTTATCAGATTTTGGCCACCTTTTCCTTGTTTGTCAGGAGGTGCATACCAAAGGAGGAACTAGAAGGCACTGCCTTGCTTGTGCAGCAAGTTGAAGTAAAGGTGAAAAAACCCTGAAGCAATGAAGAGCATCTTTCCTAAATTGTGCATTCCTCTGTTGGTGTCTCTTTTAGATGGCTGGAGAGATGGGTGGCACAATGTCTTTGCTTGACAGGTGCCAGACTTGTGACTCCCAAAGGAGCTCCTCAATTTAAACCTTCTGTGCAGCCCCAGGGTGAGACACAGGTCAGAGTTTCTGAAAGCAGAGTGCCTTAGTTTCCCATCTCAGTAGTTCATGACTTTGTTTGCTGTCTTAGGAAAAGTAACATTTATAACTTTCTGTTGTGTTTTGCTCTGTCATTCTTGTCACAGCCACTGCCAAGAGCAAAAGGAAAAGAAACAACAACCTCTCTTGAAGCGAGATGTTTGCAAGGATTGTTTCTATAATATTATATTGAATGCAATTCAGGTTGAATAAGAAAGCATTTACGTAACTTCTTCAGAAATTTCATTCAGGAGTCTCAGACTGAATTGAAAATATCATTACAGAACAGCTTGCAATGCTTGGGAACTGCTGTTTATAAATATTAGACAACATTTTTACAGTTTAGTGGAGGAAAAGACAGGCAGAATGTCTTACCAAAGTCTAACTGGGTTACAATCTGCAAAGCACCATGTGCCTTTAGTCCCTTAAGGGACACTGCCACCTAATGAGACCTTGCTCTGCCCAGGATACACCCACGGCCTCACTCACCTGGGCCCTTGCTGGGCAGGGTTTTCTGCTGGACTGGGCTGCCATGGACTGATCTGACAGCCCAGGACAGAAACTGTGAACTCCCCAAGACTGTTGATTCTGTGGGTCAATAAATCACCCTGGCCCACGTTGTACCGGTGTCCCTTGCTGCTGGCAGAGCAGAAAGCAAACAGCACATCAAATAGTAATTGAATGAATACAGAACAAAAAGTGTGCAAGGTGGGATTTCCCTGAACTTCAAATGCCAGATTTGCAAGTCAAACTTTCAAAGTCAAGTTACTTAGATTAAAAAAAAAAAAAAAAAAAAAAAAAAAAAAAAAAAACCAACCCAAAAACAAAAACAAACAAAAAAAAACCCAACAAAACAAAACAAAACAAAACCAAAAAAAAACCAGGCAATAACAGTGACAAAGACCCTGCAAGTACAATGCAGAGTACACAGGCAGCATTAATTCTGACAGCTCCCAACTTTGGAACACTTCAACCTGACATTTGCAACCCATCCATTTAAAGTACATTTGTTTGGTCAAAAATATGCAGTTTCTTCTAGCGTTCACTTTTCAAAGGATTAATTTTAATGGAAATTTTGTGATATTCTGGGCTTGTCCTTTTCCCCCTGCAAGGGTGGCAGGATCCTACCATCTGAATAAGCCTGGATGTTTAGATTCACAATTCCTCTTGCAGTGCAGAGCTTCTGTAGGTTTCAGTAGGCGACAGAAGTCTTCTATAGAAAAGTGGAATGTTTAATATTTTCCTAAATTTAGACTGAGTGACCTCCACCATAATTATTTACTGTAGTCCTGCTGTGAGGGAATGGTCTGCTGGGATAAAGCACATCTCTGCTGAACTCGGGGAAGAGTGTTAGCTCAGATTGGCTTTTCTTTATCCTTGAGGGTGAAAAATTTCAGTCTTAAGTTAGGCATGAGGACAGTGGTGGAAAATCCTGTTTGCTCTGGCTCCCTCTTCCCAGCCACAGTTTCCTCAGACAGCTCCTGTGGAAGAAGTTTTCAGTTTTCTCAGTACTGTGTCTCCCACTGCATTTGTTCAGCCATTCAGGAGAAACCCTTTGGGAAGTTCTCCTGCAAATAATTCTCTGGCTGCCAGGATCTCCTGCAAACAGGAGCAAGGGAGGCTGATTTTTAGCTGTTCATACCCCAGACAAATGGATAAATGCTGTGAGTTAAAGGTGCTTCTTTAGTTTCAGAGCTTCCTTGTTTATTAACTGAATTGGGTCTAAATGTTTTGTCTTTTTTTCACTCAGAATTTAATAATCTGCATGTGAAATTAGAATATGAGACTGTTCTACCTGGAATTTATCTTCTGGGACAAATAAAACTTGCAGTTTCTTCTACAAATTTAATATCAGCAGAGCTGTCATGACAGGCTGTGTTTCAGACAGAGGATAGAGAGTCATATAATTAAATTTCAGATTTGTTCTAGCCCTGGTTAGATGTTCTTATCTACCTTTTGTGTTTAGATTCATATGCAATTTCAAAGGGGTGTTATGTATGTGACATAATTATGGTTTCCCATGCCTAATCATCACTAATTAATATAACCAGAAGGTTAACTACATAATTGAGATATTATTGCTCCCATGATCTGGTTTTTAATGCACAGGAACCAGACTGATATCATCAGGGAGATAATGATTTAACTCAGCTGAGGTCCCAACTGTGTATTTTTAAATGCAGGTGTAACAATTACATCATTTTACATTGCAATTATTTTTGGCCAGTCCATTAAGTACTTCATTATATAGATTAGTGGAAATCTTATGATAAAAAACTACCTACAGTATAATTATAGTGTAATTATGCTTTTTGTACTGTAAAGTGTATGTGTTTCTTATAAGGCTGAATCCACAGTGGATGTGAGAAATATTTCCTGTCATTTGTAAGGCCAGACAATGAAGTCCATAGGATATCTGTGGGAGCATCTGTTTGTAGCTGACACTTTAGAGAACATTAATTTCACTGAGTGCCCTACCACACACTGCAGTATTGCTGCCACTCCTGCCAGTAACCACACTGCTGGTAGAGATGTAACAAAGAGACACAAAAACTTTAAGATCCAATAGGCTGCCTGTATCCAGCAGTAGCCCCATGCCTGTTTTATGAGCTCAAGATGGATGGCAGAGATTGTACTTTCAGTGCAGAATTCTGTTAAAATTTCCCATTATTCCTTCCCCAGAGTTGTTCAGATGGAAGGAGGAATCAAGGCAATAGCAGACAAGACTCCAGGCAGTTATTAGCATTTCAGATGGAAGCAATCTAACCTCTTTCAGATGGCAGTTGTTGAAATAATGACTGGTGATCATCTTTCAGTAAATTTGAGATGTCACAGTATTATATTAGCAGCAGAGTCATGGGAAATTGCAGAAAAAAAAGTCCTAGTTCAGATGAGATTTTTTTTTTCAAACCTCAGAAGACAAATGTGAGAGCCAAAGTAGAGGCTGTCACTGGTTTACCTGAACATGAAGTATCACAGTATTCTAACCTTTGCTTCAAGCAATGGACTCTGATTAC